TAAATTTAGAGTGTTTTAAAAAGATATATTAATGAAATAAACATTGTATGGTGTTGTACGATTTAATAGGGCCCAAGTGTAAAAATAAAAACCTCGTACTATATAAAATTCTAATAAAATTAATCAAAGTTTTGTGTGATTGATCAGATTCTTGTTCTGACGGAAGTTTCGGGAAGCTACATAGAATGTGTTGAAATTATTAGGTCATAAACAGTGACCCGACGATATAACAATGCTTCAAAAATTACAGCACACATTAAAATGTAACGTTTTTATGACTTAAGAAGCCGGGCCTCTTTGATTTATTTGGTAACATGTAAATAACTCGTAAAGAAAATCACACTTAAAATATGGTTTCGTAAACGCTTTAATGCCACACCAAGGTCAAAGCCGTCGTGTGGTATTAATTGTATGAAGCAGAGTTGCACAATCTATAATTATGCATTGCATACCACAATACACGCATGTTTTTATTTGGTTTGATAAAGAATGAAACCTAATCGTATGGTTATTATTGTTCAAAGCACGTCTCTATGGTCCGTTTATGGAAATCCAGGCCAGCTTACTGATCAATTGCCTTCATGTTTAGACAAATTGTAAATCTTGCTGGCTTCATCTGGTTTACAGAGATAATGGTAAACTATCAGGGGACACTATAAAGACGGGTTACTAATGGAATACTTTTATATCGCTTTATACACATATTATATCCAGAAAATAAAGACGACTTTTTATACTTCTTTGTTAAGGGGTGTATAATACATCCTTTCGTCTAGACATGATGTACGTCTTGAAGATTATTTCAAAAAAATAATTATTGTTGGTCTCACAGATTTATGAATTTAAACTGGCTGTTAAACTTTCAGAATGGAATCTTTTGATACCAATTGTACAGCTTTCCTTCCTGTAACTGTCACTGGGAATTCCTAAGGTGATGCCAGTGATTTGTTTCTGATGGTTCAGATGGGGAGGAAAATAGAGATCTTGGAAACGTTATTGTTCTCACATACGACACCGTGTTTAATGTTACACGAAAACTCAATTAATCTATTGCTACATCTTGCAGAATTTTATCCCCAAGAAGTACAAATGGCAGGAGTGAAATATGTTGAATGTGTTTATTATGACTGTAAAACCAGATAAATTGAAAGAAATACATTTGCAACGTATCGTATAAAATTTGTCTGTGTTTTCAAAAACGTCCCAGCAACACCGTCCTTAGTGATACATCAACGTATTGTATAAAATTTGTCTGTGTTTTCAATAACGTCCCAGCAACATCGTCCTTACATGATACATCAAACCCAGAATGAGACATTATTGAACACCAATAGGCTATATCGAACGCGGCTGACAAGTAACTTCAAATGAAATGGAATGGAGTTTTACGTCCCACTATTCTGAACTGACCGACTACTGGGCCATGCATTGTGCTGAGTCGAAAATCGTGCCCGTCAACGAGCAATATAACCGCGGTTTTACGTCCCACCCGAACAACTAGAGACTGAACCGAAACCGTGATCGAACCCAAGACTTCTTGGTTAGTGAGCCAGTACCTGATTCGCCGGACAACTGTGGCTCCCGACACGAAGCATCGAACTGAGGACATCGGATACTGGGTTTTCTATGAAACATAAGCATTATCATCCGTATCTCATGCTTGTCACCCATCGCTTATTTATTATATGGTAATGCTAGGAAGATGAATTTTGCCCGAACAGTGGTATAGGCGTACGGGACCGATAGATGTTGGGGGGGGGGGGGCAGACCTGAAATGCCGTTTACAGACTACGGCGTCGGTCGCCATTGGCCGCCGCGGGTGCGTTTTTCTGCTATTCTATGGTTTTGCAACCAAAATCCCACTCTCTGCCAACCTGAATTCCAATCATCCAATCCAAATAACAATCAATGCCAGAAAAATGTCGCACAAAACAGTGTGGCTCCTGACAAAATGTATTAATTCATAGTCAATTCACAAATTCGATGTATTCAATAAACAAAAAGGTACAGTTAGTGTTTTATTAGACTATTTTGCCAACTAGGTCGTATCATAATTTTTTCCCACTTTATCCGTTTGCCCGAAAAGTCAGATTGCCAAAAAGTGAGGGGGCTGCTGCTCCCCGTCCCTCTGGTTCGTACGTCTATGGACAGTGGTGTTTCCGCCTTCTCTTCTTCGAATTCCAAACCTGAATGGTTTCTCTACGTGCACACAAATTGGTAACCCACCCAAGCGTTCGTTCCCTCGTTTCTAGAGTTTTACGTCCACTTCCACCTAAGGTGATATCGTAGACAAACCCAAGCGTGTAGGAAACACCTTTTTGTAACGGTCGTGAAAAAAATTGAATGTTCATTGCCCACATCGGGATCGTCGAGTGCCCTGACCGTGCAGTCCTTTAAAAACAATAACGCGATTTAAAAAAAAAAAAGAGTTGAAATCAATCTAATTGAGTTGAAATAAAATTATGACGTACAAATGTTTCAACTTATTCACTAACTTACATTTGTTGTCGTATGCATACAACACCCAACTTAAAAATAAAATAAATAAGGTTTCCCATGAAAAATAATTATGATGATAATAATAATAAAAAAAAGTATTTGTAACAAGATTAATGTGAAAGACCAAATGGGACAATATTCATGATTCTTGTTTCTACATTCTAGTTTGAACATTTTAGACACGAACGCAACTTTCTAAACTAATGATTCTTGTTTCTACATTCTTATGTCAACATTCCATGCACAAAATCAAAATTTTAAACATAAAATTGACTTTATGTTTCATTTTCGGCGTTTTATCGGCAACTTTTATATATCAATAAATATTAAAATTAAAAAATAATTTCTTAATTTTACACGACAAAGAAATCAATTCATTGGTTTCTGAAAGTTTCTAAAAAAATAAATCTGGAATTTGAACTCTTATGAAAATATTTTCTACGTTTCAAAAAGTCTTGAAGTTAAAATCTTGAAATGAAAATGTCCAGAAAAATATAATGAATTATCAACATTATTACACCAGAGGGCGTTAGCGTATGTGTACAACTTTGATACAGACTATAGATTAGAAATCAATGTAAACTTTTCCACGAGTGGAAGCAAGCCCCTGTTGTGTTTACAGTAATTAGTTGCATGAAACAGAAATTAAGCTCGAGATATAATAACAATACAAATAACTTCTATAATTTTAACAGCTAGAAAAATTAGGACAAAGGCCTTTCTTACAAATTCGCTGTTCTTTGTTTATTATCGTCCATTTTTGTACACATACGCTAACGCCCTCTGGTGTAATAATGTTGATAATTCATTATATTTTTCTGGACATTTTCATTTCAAGATTTTAACTTCAAGACTTTTTGAAACGTAGAAAATATTTTCATAAGAGTTCAAATTCCAGATTTTTTTTAGATGCTTTCAGAAACCAATGAATTGATTTCTTTGTCGTGTAAAATTTAGAAATTATTTTTTAATTTTAATATTTAAAGTAGCTAAGTCTCTAACTCATTATCATCCAAAATCTTCAACCTTGAAAACACGATTTATTTGTCAAATTAAATCAACATTCATGTTGTGATCTTACCGGAAAAAGATGGGCTTCTGATATCCAATATTTAAGACAAAATAAACATTTTACCATTGGTACACGAATCGTGTACCATATATGCGCTTCAGCCCCAGTTGTATCAAGAGACTCGAGGGACGAGGCTAGACACATTGCACCAAATCAAACGGCGTATATAGACTGGAATAACCAGACGCTAGAAATTTGCACTCGCTTGAGACTGCTGGTTTATTTCGCCGAACATAACTGATTTGAAATTGGAGTAAAAACGGAAACCATTGAATGTAAATCAGTTTATATACATTCATATTACAGTATTATATGCGTTGCGACCCACTTTTGTCAATTTCTAGGTCCCAAATGTTAGCGATTTAGCTCCTTTAATGATATATAAAAGTTACCGATAAAAAGCCGAAAATGAAACATAAAGTCAATTTTTTGTTTAAGATGTTGATTTTGTTCATGAAATGTTGACATAAGAATGTAGAAACAAGAATCATTAGTTTAGAATGTTGCGTTCATGTCTAAAATATTCAAACTGGAATGTAGAAACAAGAATCATGAATATTGTCCCATTTGGTCTTCCATAGATTAAATATTCCCAATCAACATAACTTGCATTTCCACAATGTTTAAGATGCACACTTTGATTTTGTTTACACGCGATGATATTGGTTTACAGACACAGATATTGTTTAAGAAATAAAAAAAATGTTTAATTATTAAGTTCAATTAAAATTGTTACGTAATATCAACCTAAAAGAGAAGTATATTATTACTATGTTCTTCACAAACAATCAATATGTAAACATTGTGTGTTGCCACCATAGTAAATAATTAAATATGTCCACAAACACATGATCAAATTATTAACCAATACCACATGCGTATAGAAATAGATTTATGTTAATGATCCACGTGTTTTTAAAAGGATGTCAATACTACAACGTGTATACAGATAACTCTACGGCAGTGTGGTACCTTTCACTCAGTTATATTAATAAAATAATAGACTATTGAACCGTGTATTACTGCATTCTTCTCATAAAGACAACACCATCGCTCATCAATCTTTTATTACAAAACAGTTCTATTGGCTTCCTGTTTAAGCATACGTTTAGCATTAACCTCTGGTCGCTAATCACGTTGCGTGCATGGAGTAATATCAGAAGTCCCCAGGGGTTAATTGACAATTAAGTGGCATTATCAGCCACGTGCTGTCAACATTTATCTTAAAAGCGATTTAAAATACTTTAAATGTTTATTTAAATGACAGAATGACAATATGCTGTTTTGGGAGAAAGATATAGAGAGATGAGTGGTCCAGAGATAAGAGAAGGATGAATGACAATGATGATAATGATTATTATCTTGTTTACATTTAGGATTCGTGAATAACACTCTTGTTTAATGTCTCACGCGACTCGCATCTACCTACCTTTATGCATTCCTGTGAATCGATCTTTAAGAACTGTCAACTCATATATTTGTCCAAATTCTTCGAATACGGGTCTCAGGTCTTTTTCTTCGAGGTTCCGAGGAATTTGACCAACGAATAACTTGATGGCATCATTTTCTTTCATTGGGATGTGGTTCATTTGGAGCATATTCGGTCCACCGTTTACCATTAATAGGTCTGATATAACTCCGTTCTGAACAGTGGTCGCCATCTTGGAATCGTCTCTCATAGAAAATGAATTTTGCGCTTCTGCATCTGATTTACATAGGTAATAACATCCCAGCATTCCAGAGTCTAGTAATCAATTTCTCTAGAGCCTGGCGCACGAGACATGACATATCGATAACCAATTAGCATCCTACCGCGCAGCCGCGTGCTTTAGAGATAATGAGAGCATCACTTGCGGTATTATTACACGGTTAATAGGAAGCTCGTAGATTTTAAAAGCACACAACTCACATTATACTATACGTCGACAGGTCTAATAGCAAGAACAGAGCTCTAATCCCTTAATCACCGGGAGATGGCAATCTTTGATGCGGAATTGTTTACCAGATGAGGACAACATTAACATCTTTATTTTCGCCGAACCGTTAACCAATATAAAGATAGATTATCGTACGTTCATCTCTATCGAGTGTCATATTACTAACTGTTAGTTTGTTGAAATGACGGATTGTTGTATTATACTTATTAAACGAACCGATGAAATAATCATAGACTGTGCTGTTATTAGCCGTGTTCTACTGATCTACTCATTCCTTGTGTCCAGTTCATAAAGAGGACATGATGCGATCGAATATTTGACATATTTACGGGATTTTTTTCCCAGCTTCGAAAGGTCTGGTCTGAAAGTGAAAGTTTTTGTTTTATTACGTATTGATCCCCCCCCCCCCCCTAAAAAGAATAACCCCCCAAAACACACTTTTTATGAATATGACATAAAATATATGAGCCAGAAATTAAGAACTGTTAAATAGGACAATAAATAAATATTTTAAAAATTTAACAGAACTTATCATGGTTTCTATTAATCGCTTTGGTCAATAGCGGTTGTGACGCCATGCAGGATGTCACAGACGTTCATCATTTTCAAAAAACTCTGGCGTATAAAAGTGTTATCTCTACTTAAATATGCTACTTCCAAAAGCGCGTGATTTTTACATCGGTTTTGCCCCACTGCGTCTTTATTTATTCACCAAATCATGGGAAAATTGTTTGCAGCAGTGGGACTTTTGTCACACTATTTACTATACAAAGAAATGCTCTAACTCAATATCATCCAAAGTCTTCGGCATTGAAAATACGAATTAGTTGTCAATTTAAATCAACATTGGTGTTGTGATCTTACCGGGAAAAGATGGGCTTCTGATATCCAATATTTAAGAAAAAATAAACATTTTACCATTGGTACACGAATCGTGTACAATAGTGCGTTTCGGCGCCATTTGTAGCAAGGACTCGAAGAACGAGGCTAGACATATTGGTGTTGTGATCTTACCGGGAAAAAATGGGCTTCTGATATCCAATATTTAAGAAAAAATAAACATTTTACCATTGGTACACGAATCGTGTACAATAATGCGTTTCGGCGCCATTTGTAGCAAGGACTAGAAGAACGAGGCTAGACATATTTCACAAGTCATGGCCACAGATCACTAAATATTTCCCCATTGACTTTAATGTTAATTCTCGTATCTTAGACCGGCTGTAACGTTTTTCCAATTTTTCGTTGGGTAGAACGCTTTCTGTCACAGATGGAGCAACATGTGGCAAACTCTTGCCCAAAAGCATGTATGAGGTTCACCATGAAAAACTTGAGATATACAAGCTGGAAGTAGAGACATGTAAACATGCAATTTTCGGCCCCACATTTCAACCTAACCAACCTCTTAACTCTTAACTCTTGTATCCTTCCGCCTCAAAATCATGAATATTCACCAAAACCTGGCAGAAAATGTATTTTCAAACCCTTTTTCTTTGATTCTACACCAAAAAGTCGATAAATATCGCCATGCAAAAGGGGGAAAAGGGAAAGGGAGAGAAAGACTAAAAATAACTTTCGGCCTACATTCGTGGGTGACGGCGTAGAAATATTTGGTGATCTGTGTCCTATATAGGGGTGAAACTTCAGGTATCTCCAAAAGGTCCTTTTTATATGCTTCCCATATGTTCTAGCAACAAACCGGTGAAAAAAAAAATCAAAATCAATAAATAACTGCAAAAATGATGGCCCTTTAAGTATACATGCTGCTTTATGTACAACGGTGCATCTCAGGTCCATGGGCCTTTTGTGCTAAAATTTAAAAATTTTAGTTACAAACAAATAACACAAAAAACACTCATAATCTGGAATTTTTTTCAAAAATAAATTTTTTTACAGCCATGTCATGAAAAATGTACAAAATTTACATGTAGCATCTTTCAAAAAACCAATAACTTTCCACATTTTTAGATAGCCAGACTAGCAAGGAATATGTTTTTAGAAACCCTTGACAATATGCAAACAGAAAAATCACAAATCAGTTGCATTAGATTGTGATCCCACTGCGGCCACAATTGATTTTTTTTAAAAAAATACGTTCGAATATAGCAACGTTACACCATAATGTTAGTTGAGTTCGAATTTCGAGAAAATCGGACCGGAACTGCCGGATAACATGGCCGCTCCTTCCACAGAAATAGTGTAAAAATATATAATACCAAGTTTGTGGACCCTCTAGAAGTCACAATTTTTATCTTATTTTGATGAACTTTGAAATTTATGTTAATTACCCAAAGATCTTGGTTCCTTTGGATATTCGCGCATACCAGACTGCAACGGTGAAAAAATAACAGACCTTCCTTTATTACCAACTTGCCGTAGAGGTTTGGGGGGTTTCGCCACCGGAGCTGTGAATTTTCGAGACCAAGTTTTTCATGACCAGATTTTTGCGTAGATTCCAAATCTGTGTGGTGATCCGGCAATACTATAAACCGGAAAACAACCGGAAAACACCGGAAAACAACCGAAAAACACCATTTTATACTGAATACCGGAAAACACCGGAAAAACACTAAATACCGGAAAACACCCCAAATACCGGAAAACACCCTAAATAGGTAACCCGGAGCCTGGTCCTCTGTGTGCGGTTTTGGACCAAGTGAGCGCCGATGAAGGAAGGTCAAGGTCATTACGATGTTCGTTTTACAAATAGCCCCCCTCCCCCCCCCCCCCCCAAAAAAAAAAAAATTCTGATTATTTTTCTCCAAAATTGGTTTTACAAAAGAACATTCCGTAGAAAATAATTTTACAGAGAAAAATACTGGAAAAAAAATTTGAATTTTTTTTTGAGAGAAATTTGGAAGAAGAAATTGTTAAAAAAAATCTGAAAAGAAATTTTTCTTTGACCGTGGGCGATCGCTCGCTTGTATGTTAATGAACTTATTTCATCAGCGCTCACCTGGTCCAAAACCACACACAAGGACCAAACTCCGGGTTACTAAATAGGGGAAAAGTAGCCTCATCGGCTAGAGTCCTCTATTTCACAAACAAAAACAACAATTGCTTCCTTGAAAATGTATCGATCAACCCTTTTCACAGACGTCCAGCTTACCACTTCCCGTCAATGCAGTAAGATAGAATAAGTAGTTTTCTCATGGACAATTGGGCGAAAGTTGGGGTTTTCTCAAGGAAAACTGGTCAACAAGTTGGGGGAAAAAGCTCGAAAAGTAACCCAGAAAAAAATCCTGTATGCGGCCCTCGGAATAATATGATGGAATATGTTGAATGTTATTATGGTTCAAGTGATTATATTTGACCCTGGAATGAAAGTAAGCTCAGAAACAAGTAGATTTTTAGCCCTTCCAACGAGATGGATAGCTCTTGGAAAGGATAGACACTTTTCAGATTATAGCCTGTCCGAGAATTGCGTGGCATCCATTTCGTTTGGTGATTAGGACACAAAGCGGTTAAACCTGGAACTTCAACTCGAACTATATATTCAGAGATTTATTATTAACTCGCTTTTGATGATACTTGCTGTTTTATGATGCGATTTTTTGTTACCTAGGGAGGAGTTGGCCTAGTCGTGCCTTCCTGATGCTAGCGTTACTGGTAAGAATCAGGAGAAAGGCGCAACCGGCATATAATGGGGCCCTCCGAGGGCAGTGTTTAATCTACTGAAATACTGAAACACTGAAATCTACTGTAAACTAAAATTAAAATACAAAATAAAATATGGTCAATGATGGAGGTAGACTGATTGCGTCTTTTAAAACATTCAAAACATGAACATCGTAATGACCTTGACCTTCCTTCATCGGCGCTCACTTGGTCCAAAACCGCACACAGAGAACCAGGCTCCGGGTTACCTATTTAGGGTGTTTTCCGGTATTTAGTGTTTTTCCAGTGTTTTCCGGTATTCAGTATAAAATGGTGTTATCCGTTTGTTTTCCGGTGTTTTCCAGTGTTTTCCGGTATATAGTATGGCCCGTGGTGATCAGGCTTTTGAGGGGACGTTTTCGAGATATAAGTGATCAAATGTCTACAATTGGGGGAAAATGTTGACATAAATGATTATTATGTTATATATTAATAAACATAAATTTCTAGGACTGTCCATCTCTTAAAGAAGTGTATATGATGCCCATGGACAACTGTTTTGATTTGTGGGGAGGTAGGGTGGGGGTGGCAGGTGTGCGTGTATGGAAGGGTGGGGTGGGGGAATTGGCGGGAAATGAGTTCAAATTGATTTAAATGATGATTTTCTTAGAGCTTGGCAAAAACATTACTTTTTAATTCCGCTGCACATCTCTAAATATGTGTGTAAGATTCCAATGTATGCGGCGGGGGGGGGGGGGCAAAATGTAATTTTGGGGAAAGAAACCACTTGGTTTAAAATAGGCCCGAAGCGCCTTAGTGGCTGGCTGTGTTTTGTTGAGCTCTGTGTTTTATGTGTTTTTTATGTGGATTAACTGATGTGTTAACTATGATCTTTTGCTTGGAACTTTTTTTTAAGGCATTCCCGACGGGAATATCTAAAAACTTTCTAAAAAATTTTGTTACTTTTGGAACTATATGCATTTAAAATATTGATAATATTCTATGGATTTATGCAGTGAGGTATGTTTGCCACTAATTGACTTAATCCCAACAGTGATTTCACACCTGTACAAACTATCTTCAGTGATCCATTACTAAACCTACAGTGGTTTAGGAAGAGAGGTGTTAGAGCAGGTAAACAATGGGACAGAAAAATTAAGACAGTCAAATTATCTTATACTAGGGAAGATCACCAGCACAACATTACAGGTGTTAATGTGAATAACTTGATTACAATCAAAACAGTGCAAACCAGTG